TTACTCATCATGTTTTATATCCGCTTCATGCTATATTTTGAGTTAATAAAAGCGCCCTTTATCGAAAAAAACTAGCACGCTCTGGCTCCCAAACCGGCCTTAAATGCCCGGGTGGCCCGCCCGATCACCGACTAGTCATAAATAGTGACCCAACCGGACGTCTTAAACGGGTCTTAAACGCCTGGGCTGACCAGCACCTCTAATATCTAGTCCAAATATGGGGCGGATTTGAAGCGGCTCGGGTGTGCCCGCCACATCAGCCCGACCCAACCCAACCCCATAAACATCCCCATCCATCAAACCCTAGACATCGGTCAATCCGAACTCCACTTCACTCCCCTCTTCGCCCACTCCACTTCCGATCCCCTCCCATCCGATCCGATGGCCGGCGACGGAAGCAACGATGGCTCCGGTTCATAAACCATTAGCTCGACCATCGACATGGAGGAGATGGCCCTCCGCATTGCATTAGGCGGTCACTGCTTGAACAAGGTGCCTACACGGAGGAGGGGCACAGCCGCGCCGATGATCGGAAGGGGAAGGGGAAGGAGCCAACGAGGACATGGTGATTTCCTCCGCCCTTCCCCGTTCTATTTGTATTTTAACTATGTTTTAAGTTATTTGTAGTATGGATTTACCGATAAACTATGTTCCTTTTGTCCGGTGACACAATGTTGATCCGATGGACCGGGATATGAACCTGTTTTATGTAGCATTTTTTTAAAAATTGTTTGACCTAGCGTTTAGATTGTATGGTTTTGAGGGTTCGAATATGAGGACAATGCCCGCGACATTTGAGGCTTGGATTTGCTATCTTCGTGTGTACGTAGATGCTCTAAGGCCAACTCCACCGCGCGACCCTAAACGGACGTCCGCTTTGCCCGGATTTGGTCCGTTTGTGTAGGGAAATGGGGTCGTGTACGGGCCTGTCCTGGGATGCGGTGGCCGTGCGCCCAGCGCACGGTCGCATCCTTTGGCCGCATCCTGTCCGCCACGGCAAAAAATGCCCATATATTCATATCAAAACAAGTTTGCACGTCCAAATAAAAATAGTTTTACAACCCAATCGAAATTGTCTCTAATAAAATAGTTTTACAACCAAATCAAAATTGTCTTGAATGAACATAATGAACTAATACATCTATTGGTTGCTAATGTGACTCCACAAGTGCTCAACCAATTCATTTTGAAGATCCAAATGAGTGTGCCAATCACGTAGCTCACGATGGAATTGGACAAACTGTTCAAACGTGGGCGGTTCTTAGTGCAGGGGCTCAACATTTTCACCTTGATAATCAAATACTTGGTCGAAGATCATGTCATCACGCTCGTCCTCGAGGATCATGTTGTGCATGATCACACAAACAATCATCACCTCCCAAAGATTCCCTTCATCCCATGACAGTGCAGGGTTTCGAATGATAACCCATCAGGGTCGAAGCAAACCAAAAGCACATTCCACATCCTTTCTAGCACTCTCTTACATTTGGGCAAATCTCTTTCTCTTCTCATCTTGGGGGTTCGAGATTGTCTTCACAAAAGTTGACCACTGAGAATATATACCATCATCTAGATAGTATCCCTTGTTGTACTAGAGCCGTTGATCTCAAAGTTGACAGGTGGGGAGTGGCCTCCTGCAAGCCTTGCGAAGACTGGAGAATGCTGCAGCACGTTGATACCATTGAGAGAACCTGACATGCCGAAGAAAGAATGCCATATCCAAAGATCCTGCGAAGCCACATCTTCTAATGTGACAGTGCACGCTTTGACATGCCCCTTGTACTGGCCATGCTAAGCAAATGGACAGTTATTCCACTCCCAGTGCATATAATCTATGCTGCCAAGCATGCCTGGAAAGCCTCTAGATGCGTTGGTCGCAAACAATCTCTCTGTATCAGCGGCAGTTGGCTGCCTCAAGTACTCAGGGCCAAACACTGCCACCACGGCCTGGTAGAACTTCTACATTGACATCAGACATGTGATCTCACTCATACGCACATACTCATCCACCAGATCGCCTGGAATTCCACATGCAAGCCTGTGGATGGCCGCGGGTGCATTTCTGGTAAGAGGAGAATCCAAACTTGACAAGGGCATCCGTCTTGCACTCGAAGTATGGGTCATGAGCAACCACTCCCTCTCGAATACGATTGAACAGATGCCTTGCCATACGAAAATGACAACGGAATTTATCTGACTTGAAGAGCGGGGTGTTCGCAAAGTAATCGGCATAGAGCAGGGCATGACTTCTCTTCCTGTTGCGGTTCAGGTTGGGAGCACTACCAGGGAGTGACCCCCTATACCGAGGAAGCTGCCGCTCAATGTGATCGCGAACGACCAGTGCAGCCACCACAAGATCTTCATCATCCGACGATGAATCGTCCAATGAATAAATGAAGTGGTGGAAGAAAAATTCATCTCCACTGTCCATACCTTTGTGGGCAGTGTCGAACACCTTGCGGTCGTGATGGTAAAGAGGCCGCGATGATCACCTCGATGCAGCAGGGGTGGTTGGCGGCCGGCTACTGGCCGCTCTGGAGCACTTGTCGCAAGCTGCTGTGGCCGCCGTGGTACGTCGTCGGCGGTCGTATCCCCTCTGCCACCGGCTATGATGGCGACGACCAAAACTACGGCGAAAGCGCGGGTGTGGTGGCAGCCATGTCGAGACGTGGTTTGGCATGGACGGACGGAGGGGGCGAAGTGGGGAGGCGATCGAAGAATAGTGACGGTGCCGGCGATGGGGTGGGGCGGGAAGAGGGGGTGGAGGCGTTGGAAACAAATGGACTGCTAGTATCCTCGAGAGGTGGGTCATGGGGGGACAAGGGCATCTGGGGAGCCCGTCCGCACGATGTCTGTTTCACCCCAAACTCGACGTAAGTTTGGACCAGAGATAGGTCGAAAACGGACGGAATCCGGATATTTGTCTATTCGGGGCCGCGCGCTGGGCCAGGTTATTCTTCCGTTCTACCACGAATGGACGCACCGGACCGGATGGAGTCGCGTGGTGGGGTTGGCCTAAGGCCAACTCCACCGCACGACCCCAAACGGATGTCCGTTTTATCCGGATTTCGTCCGTTTGGGATGGAGATGGGTGCCAAAACAGACATGAGTGTCCGGTTTAAGTTTGAGGCGTCCACCACGACGCCCAACCCCAAAACGTCCGCTGCGTCCGCATGCGCTGGCCGCGCCAAAAACCGATGCCGCTCGCCGCGCTCCTTCCTGCGCTCGCCGCCCACGCCCCGCTGTCCGCCCTGCCGCGCCCGTGGTCGCCTCACCCCGCTCGTGGCCGCGCCAAGCCGCGCCCGTTGCCCACCACCGCGCCCGTGGTTGCCTCGCGTCTCCACGCCTGCAGCCGCGCCCCATCGCCCGTCGATGCGCCCAGCGCCCGCACACGTCGTCTCCTGCGCGCCCGCATGGCCGCACCCTCGCCGCCCCGTGCCGCAGCGCA